CACTCACCTCATAGTTCTAGCCGACCTGTGACAATGAGACTGTCACAGGTCGGCTCAGTAGATCGGGAGGTGAGCGAACACATACTGGCGTTCGCTCACCTCTCGATCCTGTCACGGCTCTCTGCCGTGACAGGGGAGGGGCTGGATTCCCCCCTCCACGCTCCGATCCGCCAGCACTGACTGGCGGAACGGACGGGGGAGGGGGCGGGTTCAGCTGGCTCTGCTTCTAGATAGGCAGAGCCAGCTGTCAGTCACGCAGCTGGGCGGATCCCAGCACAATTGTCGGGATCCGCTTCAGCGCCTCAGTATACCGCGAGCAGCAGCTCGCGGTATACTGCGGCGTCTCAGTATACCGCGAGCTACAGCTCGCGGTATACTGAGCCCAGGGTGACGGGAGGACGCTAGTTTGTGTCCTCCCGTTACCCTAACTATGGGGAAAAGCTTTAACCCCATAGTTCTCCTTTAATCACTTCCAGTACTAGAATTATCTACCATACCTCATTGATGCAAGTGATGCTACTACTGGTCCATAATTTGTCTTCTAAATTGAACTCTATGAATACATTTGATCAGACCTCACCTATTACTCAAACTAGATTCTATTAGTCAAATAATCTGGTAGAAGATATCCACCTCCAATTTATTTGTGGGGAAACATATTGCTGTTCTCCTTTCATGAGACTAGCACTACTGAAAAACATGATTTATTGTGAAAATTCCCATAAAATCCCTGATGTAGAAGAGCAACAAAGCATTTGCAGAACAGCTTAATGCTTATGGGAAACCTGTACTGAAAGAAATATGGTGCACTAGTTGAGCTCCCTTTAAAAATACAAATATCCTGGCTTTCTCTGGCTTTAATTCATTCTGAGTCACTATAAACTGTCTCCAGGTTTCCTTTAACTGATCCTGCTATCTAGAACTGGGTAAAGCAGGGTTTATAAGGCGCAAGACTCCTGGGTTATTTCAGGATGGCTTCTTTCATCAGAAGGCAGCAGGGAGGGGAAGAAGTGAAAAGTGGGGATGGAAGGCTAGTACATTCAAACAGCTGCATTCAGAGATTGCAACATGATGTCCGTGAAGGCTGTAAAATTGAGAAAAATACAAAATTAGTTAATAAGAAAATCCCTATTCGTCATGATAGTGAAGCAGCTTTTCTGAAAATGCAACATTATAACTTTTTAGGCTGAATAAAATTCTAGCACAAAACTCTGCAGCGTATTTATAAAGAATTGGCCTACTGAAATGAGCACATCATTTAGCACATGTGTAAACCTGTTTTGAGAAGACTGTTCACCAACTGTTTTCCACCTCTTTTATAGAGGATTTACTGGCTAACTGACATACTGAAAAATGGTGAACAACAGCTGTATTTTTGGCAAAAGAAAAGTGAACGCATCTGCCGAACTGAAATAAACTTGCCAAATTTAGAGAGAGAGGATATATTAAGGCCTCTTTCAGATGGGCAGTCTGACCAGGTCAGCCTGTCAAGTTTATCAGGCGGATCTGATTGGAAGCCCAATGTTACTCTATGGACAGCCGGATCGAAACGGACGTGTGTCTGTTTCATCTGAGTAGCCCCCACTTGATCCAGGTCCAGAAAACCGAACAGAACAAAGTGCTGTTCTGGTGGACCTGAGTCTGGCAAATTGGCGGTTAATCTGATGTAAAGGAACACATGTCCGCTTACATCCATCTCCCTATAGACCTAACATGGGTCCAGTAAGTATATTTTGTAATTCCATCATAAGATGGAGGAAAAAAAACTGGACAGGCATGAAGGTCACAATGGTGATATCCATTCCAAATTGCACCTATCAGCAGGGGATCCATGCAGGCGCCCATGTTAAGGTCTTACAAGTATGTTCACCACTGTCAGCTTTTTTAGTTCATTTATGCACCTTTATGTGATGCATTTTAATAAAATACGACAAAAAAATAGCTAAAAGAGTTTGGAAATAGCGAACTGATAAATAGGCCAAACAACAAAATTCACCTTGAAGCTAATTCAATTTTTTTTAAAGGAAGTAAAAAAAAAAAGTGGTGCACACAGCTTTACCACCCATTACAAATAGCCCCTTCTTGCTCCTTTTTAATTTTCCAGCATATTCCAGCTCAGCAGTGATAAATTGCTCTCAAATATGTCAGAGCACGTCTCAATATTTTTACTGTGAAGTTAATTTATAATCCTGGCAATGTCTATGAACATGTGATGTGTGGTAGATTAAAGAAAAACAAAAGAAAAAGTATATCTTCCATAGTCAGTGGGAAAGTTAGTCAAGCTCAACCATTCGCTTCCTGAGTGTCAACTAAAAGGTGAGGTCATTTAAAAATCACATGACACCTTATTGAGGCATTTTTTGTTTACACTTCTCGATTCCTGTAGGGACACTCAGGTTTGGGGAGTGAGTAAGATAAATAACTTAAATACAATATTATATATACTGTAACATTAGCAATTTTAGATCCAATAATGTATTACGATGAGATATCCATATTTTTAATAATATCTTTCCTTTCTATTCTTATTAACCAAACTATTTGAATAACTGGAATTTAGGTGTTTGTTGTGGTTAATATGCATGTTTTTGCAGTTACTGACAAGCTAAAGTTTCCTGTATCTCCAGTGATCTCTGTAATTTATGTTTTTTAGGTAGTTAGCAGTTTTTGAGCTGCAGCAAGTGATTAAATAGCTATTGAAATGTCTAGGAGAATAAGGAGGTAAACAGTGTCTATATATCAGTAAATCATCCGCTTTGTTTCTGTTGATGTTATGTTCTTCTATTGTTTTATAATAATACATTTTATCATCACTTGTCTCTTGCAATATCTTACCTTTGTAATGTTCACCATGGTTTGTGATGTGTAGCTGGTTGGGATATTTTCTGTTTGGGGATTAACATATCTCGAATTTCTGGTTTAAGGCTCAGCCCAGGTACAGTGAATATAGACCGTACTGAAATCAAACACACATATACATTATACATACAGGCAAGGTCATAGGTTTAATTCCAAAACAATAGGGGCTGATCTATAAATGTGTCACTGAGCGTATAGCTGGGAGAATTCTGTTCGCACAGCATTACTGCCGCTAGAGGACCATTGTAAATTCCTATGCTTCTCAGCAGTATCTAGTTGCGGTAGTGTTGTTGTGCAGATGGCATTCACCCAGCTATAAGCTAGGCAGAAGATTTATAAATCGGTCCCTTTGTATTAAAATGCACATATAAAACATACATGAGGTAGAATGAGCAAAGGGCTGCTTTGTGCGCCTAATGGCTCCTGCATGCCCTCAGAGCACAACCCAGCTTGGTAAGACTTTTTCCATCCTTGTATTTTCTGGAAAATGGGCAGAGAGGGACTTACTTTTTTAAATTTTGGTTTGTCAGTTGTTCTAAGATAAGATCAAATTATCACTTCAAAAAGACAAGTCAAGTGATGCATAGCTGAGAGATCCAAACAATGGCTGCTTACACGTGTGGATACAGGTGCTCTTTATTAGAGATGAGGCCGGGCCTGGTGCGAACCCAGTTCACCGGAGTCCCCCCGCAAGCCCCATCAAAAGTTTGACCACCCCGCCTTCCTCCCAACCCAATCAGTTGCGGGGAGGCGCATTCCCCTCCCAGCAGCTATATGTCACAAAGGGGTAAGGAATGTCCCCATCACAGCTGCCAACACCTGATTGGTTTGGGAGAAGGGGGTGGTGGTCAGAGTTTTGAGCAAACTCAGGTAAAATGGGTTTGCAACAAGCCCAGCCTCGTCTCTACTCTTTTTTCAAGTTTAGGAAAAGAAGAAAATGGGAAATCACTTGCCTACTATGATTTTTATTTTTTGTGTAGTACTTAGCAACTTAAGTTGTAGCACACAGAGGTCAGACTTGTAACTCAGCCGATGAGAGGGTTAACAGTCTGTTATAAAGCATGAGAACTTCTGACAAAGCTAAGTTTGTATAAATGCACGCTCTTGAAAGCTAAAAACTTCTTTAACAGAAGAAAAACCTTTCAGTAGAGTGACTCGCGTACTTTGAAAACAGCTCATTAAGTTGGAAATGATAAACGCGCGTGGATGCAATTTTGAAATGAACTGTTCTCCCTGTCTGCTGTCGAGGTGGCTGTATCTCCCTTGTCTCCACCTCTAAACAGCCACTTCCATATTTATTTATTCGGAGCACAAGGATTTGGAGGTAATTAGGCTGTCAGAGTCAGTGAGTTAATAAGGAATAGCAGGAGAGAGAAGACATCTTTCTCTCTCTCTTTCACCCTCTCTTCATCTTCTTTGTTTTTATCTTAATGCTTAGTGTCTTTATTTCACTTGCTGGTTTCCTCTTCTTTCTTGTAGGACGTTCCCTATTTAATTAAGAGTTCACATTATCATCAAATGGCACACTATCTGGTTGGCACTGTATCCTTCCTAATGCTGTGGCTGAGTTGTGTAGTTATCCTGTTTGGCACTGTATCCTTCCTAATGCTGTGGCTGAGTTGTGTAGTTATCCTGTTTGGCACTGTATCCTTCCTAATGCTGTGGCTGAGTTGTGTAGTTATCCTGTTTGGCACTGTATCCTTCCTAATGCTGTGGCTGAGTTATGTAGTCATCAGCACAATAACTATGTTAGTGCTATATTTTTATTTTCAGAGATTTCTAAATTCATTTCTGAGATTTATATACAAGGGCTACACAAATGTCACCTTCATAGATGGCTTATGGACATACAAACATTACTTTCTACTTACAGTCCCCTCGTATGTGGTCCTTTACAGAGTAGCTCTAGAAACGTTTGAATATCTTCCCATTTATGTCTATTTTAGTTTTATACAATGTTGTCACTGCCGGATTAAAAGGCAAAGTAACAGGACTGTTTAATTGCCCACTAAATTTGCTGCACATACTTACCTTTGCTGTGCTCACTCAATGTTCCATTCACCTACTGGAGCCAACAGCAATACCTGGTATATCCAGGGATAAATGAGTATGTAACTCTCTCCCCTTCTCCCCTAATGCAGTGCGGCAGATGCCGAGTAGCCATTCGCCAAGCCCAAGTACTGTCCTATGGGATTGAAGGCAGTGGCGTCGCTACAGGAGGGCAAGGGGGGGCCTGTGTCCCCCCCACTAACAGTGGCGGCAGTCCCGGCGCTGGCGCAAGACAAGAGAAATGGAATCCATGTCCCAGCAGATAACTGTGCCCGGGACGGTTATCACACAGTTATCTGCTGGGACAGGGGTTCTCCCCGCTGCAGCCTCACAGACTGTCAGCGGTTTCTCCCTACAGCCTGTAGGGAGAAACCGCTGACAGTCTGACCCCCCCCCCC